GCGTCTGTGGAAATATGATAACTATTGGTATTTCTATCTCATCACCGGCATAAGAAGTTATTCGACCGCTAAACCATCCCAATATCCAAAGCATGGTAGATGTTTACGCTGAGGGCTGATAATAAGCAGCCCAAGTAATTGTATTAGTTATCCAAAGGTCATTCGGCTGCTAGACTTTGTTAGTTCCAGAAAATGATGGATGTTTATTGGTATTGAAGAACTATGAGAAATTACTGCTTTATCATCTGATTTCCTTAATACCATCAGTCAAATCCATTGAAAGCAGTGTGTACTCAATACAATAGCCCGGCTATGCTCAGTTTCAATGAAGCCTATGTTGACATGCGCGCGAGAGCGGGCGGAGCAAAACTGGTGAAGGTATATTATACAGTCCCATGCGCTTAAAATATGCTGAAATATGCTTCAATGAAACACAGACGTGTACTTGGCACCAGATTACCTATTGGAATCATTTTCGAGCTTTCAGGCTGGCAGCACCTACGTTACCTCTTTACCTTTGCCATAGGTGAACTTGTCAAAAACAGATGAGGCTTGCCCATCTGAACACACTAATTACTCATTTTGCTTTATTCGAACCAGTTGAGCTTTCAACAGTATAGATCGTTGAAGAAACACTGGTTCACTTCGTTGCTCGCCACCTCGAGGTGGGAGCGACCAGTCTTGAAGTGGCAGGTGGTACATGGCAGTTGAAATTTTAGAGCCTATAACGCCAAGGGGTTGCACGAGTATGCGGGTTGTATGGGTTTTTCTGCGTAGTGTATTAGAGGACATATTCTGCGCTTTTTGGTGGATTATTGCATGTTTGCTTCCGTTAAATGAATAAGGCCCTTTGTCGTGGTTCGGGAGCGGTTGCCCTCCTAACCCTCCAACACGACGCATCGAGGTGGTTCGGGGCCCTCGTGGCCTTTCCCAGGCACACGTCGTCCTACGGGTCCTTCCCGGGGACCATGCTGGTTTCCCTCCCAGCATGGCCTCCGCTCCCCGGGGCATCACGGGTTCCTAACCCAGGAAGGGGGGTTTGAGGAGTACAACCCGCGGGGGCAAGGCCCACCGTCGGCCCCAGGCTTTCCCAGCTCTGGAGCCGAGGGTTCCCCTGCCCCGGCTACAACCCCGCTGCAACAGCAGCACACAACAACTACTGCGCCTTAGTCGGGCCCCTGCCCTGGCGCTCCCCAATTAAACCACACTCACATTTATTGGCGATTACTGGCGACAACAACTCGCTTGCCAGCGCTCCGACAGGACGGGACAGTATGCCGGACCATACTGCCGAGTGCCAGTGGCACTCCGAGCCGTCCAGCTTCCTCGCGTTGCCCGGCACAACGCTCCTCCCGGAGGGAGCGAAGTGCGCCGACTGGCAGAGGCGGCTCGCTTAAGTAGTCCCGGCTGGAGGCGGGACCGGAGGCGGAGCATGCCCCTATAGTCGGTGCATGCAACGCCACGGCGCCTGCTGCACAGCAGTGCCCAAGCGCGCGGTGCGCCCGGGACCACAGTCGCGAACCGCGACACCCTTAGTCTGTTCCAGTGCTCATTGCTAAGTGGCTCTTTATGGTCGAAGCTCAAAGAAATCGCCACGGGAGAATTTTGGCTCCACGTTCACCAGAAATTGATCCTTAGCTCTTTCGCTTCATGAGGATAGCAAAAATACGAAAAATAAGCGTTGATTCTGACACGATTCCAAACAATGAGCGAAGCTTCAAACACTATTGGCACAACTATTGGCATTGGGAAGCCAGCACGTATAGCTGTGTTGAAGGCGTAAACGTTAATGCGTCCCATGTCAAACTTCCCCAAAAACTCACTCCATACACTTCGTTACAGAAAACCTTCCGGTCCAGCCCACCGTGACAGATACCATACTGCGGATGGGAACTTGACATCTTCTGGTAATAAATCGGGGACTTACCCTCTTCAGTGCAAAGACAACACAGGTCAAAGAATAATACATTCATCGATGGAGCAAAGCGGGCTAAAATAGTACAGCCAATTAGGGCGAAATAGTCCGACCGTCGCCACCTTCGAGCGCACTTCTCGCTCTCGCCGCCTTCTCCGCCTCCTGTAATCAGATCATATCATCGGAGTCATTTGTTTTCAGTATGGAGCACACCTTATGGTCCCGTGACAGCCCGACTCACACATCGTGAACTATTCTATACGTTAGCGGTCTCAAAGTTTCAATCATTGCTTTGTTAATGGGGGCCTGCCATGTGTTTGACATGGTAGGACTAATGAAATGTATGGTCAAGAAACTACTTCGAAACGTTGAGGGAAGGCTTGAAGTTCATGCGCATGCTCGGCAGTGCACGGGAATTATCAAGCTTTATTGAAGACATTCATTTAAACTAGGTCTAGGAATGAAGAAGGACTCGGAGATGCCAACCTTTGTTTTCCCCGTCTTTCATTTCCCTCTCAGGCTTCTATCCCTACACCCATATGTTAGCATAAACGATTTTTTAATAGAGAACAGCCTCGTGAGAGGTGAATGAAGATCTCTCCAATGAGAAAGATAAAAGAAACGTGATGAAAGCACTCGAAATATGGCACGAAAATAAGGCCGCTAACTGTATCGTCGTCTAAGTTGACGACTCCAATCTTACTTCGTCGCCCTTCTCTGAGTCTCGGAGGTGATTACCTAGTCAAGCCTCCAAATGACACGTGGTCATACTGAACCGGATTTTGCACTCACCTTTCCTGCACCATAACAGAATTTAGGGCGATTCTTCGTTGTAAGTACCATAAAAGTTGTATGTTACAGAGTAAAGCATAAATATGGTAAACAAAATAATTGTGGCCCAGCGCGATCAGGAACGTTGAGGTGGGATATCAGTCACAGCAACGCATGAGCGTTCGAGCTGTTAACATTTGTTGTTCATAAT